TCGCACATAGTTTTTGCTGACTGTGAAGGGCACATGAAATTTGCTGAATTGAATATAGAGTATGTTACCAACGAGATCCACTTCGGCAGGCAGTGCGTTATGAGAATTTCTGGACACATTTAACTATGGGCAATGTGATTGGTTATTAAACTCAATTTCAATGTGATTGGCTATTGCAAATGAATTCAGAGCATGTGATTGGCTATTTCTCCCTAAGTTTCGTGATTTCAGGACTGGGAGTACGTAACTGTAGCTACTAAAATTAGATCTGTCCAATATTGAGTACTCATGGAGCTGTTTGTTCGCTGTGACTCCTCCGGGGGAGGTCAAATAGTCAAGAATTCGCTAACTTCGTTTATACTTGGCGCGCGTGGAACATCATTATGGGCCACTGCCCTCTATGTATGGACAAGTTCAAAAGCATCTAATCTTGACTAAGGTGGGAATTATCTCACCCGACTACTCCAGGCATTAACATGGTGGCTCTGGGTAGCAAATTTATTGGCATTCTATACACAATTCTACTCTAATTCAGCTTATCTAATATAATATCACAGCAATGTTCTGTACACAATGGAGTCCCAAACTTAAGGAACCTTGCTATGTTCGAATTGCACGACCAACCTGCGAGTGGATAGATCGTTGTTCGAACCCAAGACCCAACTGCCTTGCGGTGCGATTGTCTGCTTTGGATTCGTGGCGCCATTTGCAGCCATGTGCTGGCCGTATCCAACGAAGTTGGGATCAGACTTCCAGGGATGAGTACACCACCCCGGCGACTGACAAGCTGTATGAGACGTGCAGATGCTGAAGACCAGCACCATTATCAGGTTCGCGGCCGTCGCCGTCGTTTGCACGTTGCCTGATATATCATGTTTGCTGGTTAGCTAATTTGGTCGATAATACATTTTGTATATTTCGTATTTGTGTAGCATACTATTTGCAAGTACGAGGAGGAAGGGGTAGGTGCATGCATATGTCATCATCATCGCCCGCGTCCATCACCTGTGATTCGTAGCGGACATGCCAACGTGCAGGGACTTGACGTGGCACGGCACGAACGGTGAGAGCGCCACGTGATAGCAGTCGGTTGAAGTGGGTCTTCATTCGATACAGTTGGCTTATTTGCCCATGGTTTTTCGAGCTCGGACTCGAACTTGGGAACTTTCACAATCTCTTGCATAAGGTGTGGGACAAGGAGTTTGGTTCGGCCAATATACTACAGATGTGGTTATTTAGTGTAGTATGATAATTGTCGTACATCTTTCAATTCGCAGTTGAAGTGCTCGATTCGCAGTTGAAGTGCTCGGTGGGATTGTTGGTGTACGAGCTGCCAGGTGGACTGTGGTACACTTGCCACTTCCAAAAGCGGACATCGTCAGTTCCACCGTACGCACGGTTGTACGGCAGCCATTGGCTAAAGAAGTAGCGCCGAAACTTCCGGAGGCCCGGTTCGCCACCCACTTGTCGTGCACCACCGCCTAGGTCCACACGACTTGCTGACATATGCAGCAGATATATGTCGAATGAGACATCTCGCCATTTTTCGATCGTCAACTCAGTACGCCTTTCATAGCACTGTATGCAAAGTGAGTCGTATGTAATGATATCATGCATAGGTGAGTCATAAGCAATTTGTATCAGACATACCTTTGTGATGACGTGGTAAAAAGCACATGAGATATTCAATCTCTGGCAGCTGCTGGTCCATGGCTGTAGTCATTCCGAGGTACTGAGCCTTATCGGCGTCACTCATCAGCAATCTTGGTTCCCATGCAAAGTTGAGTTGGTCTTGAAATTCTTCCTTCAATGACTTCAACAGCCAGGCCACGTCGTCATGAGTTCTTTGTGATGTGATGCAAATGCAGAGCACATGGAACGAGCCAGCCATATCAGAGTACCCAAATACGAATACTGGGTACCCTGACTTGTTAGTCGAAAATGTCGTGTCGACATGGCACAAGATCTTGCGGCGGGGGTTATCTTCGCAAGTCGTTTTGTATCGATTCATGACGTCAAGCGTCGTAAACCCTATGTACGAATATGAATGCATAACATTGTCATCGTATACAACATCATTACACGTGCATTATGTACACTGCATTCAAATATCGTATCGACTCGAAACGACTGCAGGCCACCATTACCTACGCGGGGCTTGCCATCAACTTTTTCCACGCCAAAGACGAATGGGTGATGGATTTCTTGATCTTCTTGGGCGGTTGGCAGAACCCAATGTTGCAACGCTTCTTCAACGGCCAGCACCGTACTTTTGTGGTGCAACTCCTTGGTTCGCACATAGTTGATGGATTGTTGCCGGAGAGTAGGACACGCTGCATCATCATAATTGCCCGACTGAAAGTATACGCGCAGAATCTTGAACAGGGTCTTCAGCATACGTTTGGGGTCTTCGCCGATCCATGACCTCAGGTCGTGTAACATGTCTTCGGTCACCTATTGGCGCCAATATCAGAATCATTGTTATGAACTGTTACCACCCAAGTTCGTACATGGGGCTTGACCGGTGATGCTATTCCATCCTCACCCATCATGTGGTATCCACACATACTGACAACAGTACTACTGGACACTTGACAAGTTTGGATCTTGTACGCAGCGTCACACCGCGGTATTCCTTCGTCGTTGGTGTGACATCTTTGGCTGATGCACCTAGTGTACTGCGACTTCATTTGATGAGGCTGAGCAAGGCGCGTGTCGTGCTCGTCAACATGAACCAATGTGCATGCTTCGCTGTTTGAATGTGATACACCAAAGCGAGGTAGTGTAAGTCGGAACGAGGGATACTCGGTACTTGGTAGCGTATGAACGTGGCGAAACGCGGTCATTGGTGTAATGAGAATATTGGACATGTAGAGTTTCCTTTGAATAAATTGAGGATAGTTCAATCGTTACATTGAAGATTCGTATACTTGTGGAGTAGCAAATTGTAAAAAACTACCCAAGAGATACGTAAATGAGTTAAATAAGTTACGTCAAGTTACATGTGTATTTCGGTTGTACGAAACCGTACAATTAACGTTGCTCGATGAACTTTGTCGTATTGCAATATTGTATACTTTCGAAGTAGCAAATTAAACAAAACTACCTGGTCGTTTCACACTTGGTCATTCTGTCAGCATGGACGATGATGTCGCTACGCACAACGTTGTGTTTGGCGATGGGCATGAATGTGTCCCATTCAAGATAGGAGAAGGCTACTCCGGAGCAAAACGGAACGTAAAGAAATGCTTCGTGTGCGTTGGTAACACGAACAGGGGCACTACAAAATACCGTTCTATTTGTCTGGTGCCTGTCTATGCCACAAACAAGGAACCCACAGCCCATACCTGCTGGCAGCTGCTGCATACACCTGAAGTTCAGCAGCGATTGTGGCAGAAAGCAGTAAATCTCAACATCCGGCAGGCAGCTGAGTCACCATCGGTGAAGCGCAAGCGCATCTCGGCTTTGAAGAAGAAAGTCAAACTGCGAGCCATTAAGTACAAAGACACCAAACGTAATTGATTCTCCATAACATATACTGTTGCTTGCTTACTTACGGCACACATATCCACCACACACAAACTACACTACAGATCTACCTCTGGTCAGTTGAACGCTTCATTGTACTGCCACAGATTCACTCTACATCCAGAGTTATTGACAGGGATGTTGTGGCCACTTGGAGCCATCCATTTCGAGCACTTCCAGGGCACACATACACTTCACACATATACTACATTAAAGAACTACCTCTGGCCAGTTGAACGCACCATTGCGGTGCCTCATATTCACTCTACAGCGTGGGTTATGGACATGGATGTTCATTCCAATCGTGTGCACTTTTATTCTACGGCACCCCTTGCCGCCATCGGCACACATACACTTAACAGTGTGAAGTGTATATGTGTGAACTTCACCTATATACTACATTAAAGAACTACCTCTGGTCAGTTGAACGAGCCATTGCGGTGCCTCATATTTACTCAACAGCCTTAGTTATGGACATGGTCGTTCCATCCTATCGTACGCACTTTTATTCTACTGTATCCCTTGCCACCATCCGATAATTTATTACGCGTACCCCGGACTACGTTGAGCTGTAGTGTACGTACCAACGATTCAGATGTAATGCAATTCCCTTTTGAAGTACGTTGATGCGCATCCATCTCACTCGAGACTCTACCTCAACACATGAGTTGACAGGTGGCGTCTGTTCTGTGGTTTTCAGCAAAACTTATGCGGCAGGAATGTGAACTCGCCCAGCAGGCCGCCCATTCCGTTGTCAAAACTTCCACTCCCCAAAGCACTTCAACCAGCGGTCAAAGAGGTCTGCATTCATGAAAGCCTTCGGCGACGCGGTGGTCATTGCGTCGGGGACGGGACACTTGTCGAGGACAGAAGTTGCGCAACTTACACCAGGAAGAATGAACGCTGGGCGCACTGGAGTGCCATCCGAGGCTACGGCAGCAACGGTGGTTAGGTGGTACACGTTGGTTTCTTCTCCTCTCCAGACGTTCTTCGATCCACGGATCGCCACGACCTTCTTTGATTTTCCCTTCGTCTTGAAGCTCGTCTCATCCACATTGTAGACGTCACCGGCCGTGCATGAAAACCCAAGGACGCCTTTCAAGAGCTCGAAAAAGTACTTCGTGATGCCCTCACGAGTGATTGCATTGCGAGCCTGACTGAGCTTCTGGGCGACACGGGAGGGGAGCTCTTCATGCCTCATTTCGAAGCGAGCATACCACCCTCGTCCGATCGAGCGCGGCACACCGGAGTAGTGAGATAGGATGTAGTTCGCTTTCATTAAAATCTCATAGCGTTCAACCGACCAACCAGATCGCTGCATGGCTGCGATTCATGTGACGAGGCCGTCTTCAAGGCTCATTGGGATGAACGGCTTGCGTGCTTGCTTAACGATCCTAATAGACCCAGTCTCTTCTTTCATCCTCATGTACTTGTATATCGAAGTACACTTCACAGGCGAGCTACGGGCGACTTCAGCAGCACTCTCGCCGCCTTCGATCCGCGCCAAGGCGGAAACGATGTCGGCAATTGATGGCGCCGTTGATGCAATGCCACTCTTTCGCACACAAATCAGTCAATTTTAGCTCCAACTTGCCCGTGCTGAGGAGACTCAGCGCAGAAAGGGAGCGCAGCAAAATGAGGAGGCGGTCGGCCCACACAATCGCCCCCACGCGATCCAATTCAAACAAGTTGAACGGTCCAATGCAACACCGACTTGTGACAATGTACACGAGGATTAAGGCTACGACCCCGAATAAAACGTACGTGACGTACAGTATTGCACTCCCCACATGAAATACAGCGACAGACTGCGCGGAATCTCGAGCGCGTCCAGCGCGTACATGTCTCTTTCGATGACTGTGGTCAGCACCGTGACGCGACCGGCATCGCCTTGGAACGACGCAACTTCCTGAATCACCCACTGGTACAGGTAACACCAAAACGTCCATCCAGGCTCGTGTTTGGAAAAGGTGTGGCTACCCCAGCCCTTTCGTGCCTTGGACAAATTGGAAAAAGCATGCATGGCGGTGTTGATCGCATCCAGCTGGTCCATCACGGCCCAACGAGTAATGTGTAACACGTCTAGCGTACTTTAAAGTATCGAGGCAGTCTTGACCTTCCAAAGCATGTTGACACATGTCCGAGGCAACAGTCGCCACCACGTTCGACGCGAGACCCGCCATGATCACTTCGTGCAATATCAAGTACGTTGCCTCGGTAAACAGAGGCAGCGTGCACGGTCCCACCGAGTCCAAGTACTGAAACGGCGCCGGTCGAGAGGTCGGCAGGACATAACACAGCAGAGTGCCGCCAAAATGGAGATACTGTTGCGTCTGCCATGTGCGCGGGTTCTAATGACTTCCTTGGCTTGTTTGTCTTGAAGAAGGTAGTCGATCCAACGTAATATGTATTTGGAAGTGAAGATCCTTATCACTACCCTGCGATCTTTTACTCTAATTCTACAGATAACGACGGAAATAATTGCCAAGTGGTACTCTTGAAATATCTGTCAATTTGTATGATCAATATTATTTTTCCAATTGTACTACGTAGTACTACTCTGTGTTTTAATTGTAACCTGCTTCGAAGTGTCACATAAATGATGTCGGATTGGTGAATTTTCAACCAATTGGAGACATCAAAACTAAACGACGACGACAACGGCAACAGAGTCAAAACATCAAATCACTTTCGTCGGCCGAAATACCGTAAATAACACACCCATTGAAATTACAATGTACACGCACTAACGTATAGGTACATACTGTACATGGAATTAACATGCCTTTCACAAGCCGTGATGTTATCGTTAACATCTTAAGAACCTAGGCTCTTATGTTGCACACATGTTGACCTTCTCCTGGCAGAACTGAAAGCTTTTGTTATATCCTTGTATTCGCTGTGTACTGTACGGTATACTGTACTACGTACCGGTACTCGATGTACAGTACAGTACCGGTACTTGCATCCGATGTTCAAGAAAGGTATATACTGTTAAGTCCTATTGATGCGATTCTCTCGATTGTTTGAGTTACGGCAACAGTAAGAGCATCTCCAACGCGGGTCCCTATCCCAACTCTATACTACTCTGGCACATAATAGTTGTCGCCTCCAAACAACTTCATTAGAGTATTGAACTTGTCATTTGCACATCTTGATTGTTGTATTGAACTCCAAATTTTTAAATATCGAAGGCGAAAATTATAATGCAATCAGGAGTATTTTATTAAATTACTTGTTCTTGGGAATTCACCATCGCTTCAAAGTGCACTTCTTCAGTCAGGCGATTGTTCAAGTGCATCAGCGCGCTCTCGTAGCTTGTTGCATCACACTCGACACTGAAGGACGAGAGGTTTGCAATCGAGGCATCCTTCTTCATGTGGGGCAGTTTGTATTCATTGCTACCATTGATCTCAATGGACTTCTCCATCACCTTTTGAAGGGTGACGAAGGTCTTTGCTAGTGTTTCAGTGGGCAACTCAACAAACGATGTTTTTACAGCATCAATAACCTCGTCGATTGAACGAGTACACTATTGATACTGCAGGCTTTGAATAGAGTTAAAGAATCCTAAGTCGAGCACATTGAAGTCCGGGCTGTTCGGGGGCTGGTTCACAATTCCAATTTCACCAATTCCGGGTGCAATTAACCGGTCCGTCGTTAAACATTTGTGTGGACTGGCATTGTCTTGTAATCAACACGGCAGACTTGCGAGCTGCAGACGGAAACTTTGACTTGATAGCATGAATTACTTACTCAATAACCATCTTCGAATACACTTTTGCGTCGACGGATTGTGCAACAACTGTTCCTTTCGGACGTATAGCATTCGCGAGGGATCAACAGGTACCGGTACGGTACCGCTTACTCTGTGCACCTACCTTGCGTCGTGTTTTCGCGTGCATGGTAGGATTGACGTTGCTGGGAACTGAACCCAGACCTCCTGCAAGCAGGCGCGCTTCCATTGCGCCACAACATCGATTTCTTGAGTGTCGTCGCTCTGGCCTTCCAGTCGTGCAGCACAGTCCTACATAATCCACCAGATTCGCCAGCTAAAAAGTGGTTATGACACCATACATCACATACATACAGTACCACCACAACACTAGCTCCAATTCTTACCATGGTGATTGATTCGTTTCGTGGCGGGTCGGCAAATCTGCGGCGGGTCGGCCGTGGGCTGACTGCACAGCTACGACAGAACTCGAGCACACCGTTAGGTTAACGTTATGGAAGGATGATCGTGCTCACCGATGTTCCAGCATGTGCTTGGTCCATGCCTGCGTTCTGGCGCGGCACGGTCTGTGGAATTCTGGAATGGCAATGGAAAACACGTTGACATCATCAGATGATATGATATCGACGTCGTAATCGTTTGTCGGCGATAGTAGCAGCATCAAAGACGTGCATGCCCTACAAGGCACGCCGTTCTTCATATTCAAGCCAATTTGAAGCAAGTGTAACGAAATCTCAATGTTATCATCCTTTCTGAATTAATCCATATAGAGTATGATATGACATTTCATTAACTCGTTGTTTGGTGATTTGAACCCGCTTGCTTTGTCCAAAGATACAGTTGCAGAGGGAACTGAAGCAGTAATGGTACAGTAGATCTCGCTCGTTTTGAGGCATTTTGACGATTTCGTTGGTGGTGTTTTGGGAATACGACAGCAGCTTGGCAACAACAGATGCGGCTTTTGAGAAGTTAACTTGTTCTGCACTTGGGCGGATAAATTTGCGCCGTTGATGGACCAGTGGGGCAAACTCCAATGACCCAACCCACCGCAAATTCCAAATTTCATAGGTTGTCCCCGGGGCACCGTGCATTGCGAGGTGCATATAACGGGGCACATACTGGGGGCGCAGTGGTGCTAGAGGGAGCGTTTGTCGAGACTTCATTATGAGCAGAATGTCCACCAGGGCCTCTAAGGTCGGCAAGTAGTTGCTCGCGGAATTGTTGTAATGACTCCGACAACATTCTATTCGTCACCGTAGTGGAGCAACAAAGCAGCTGTGACTCCAATTGCGATGCTACTATCCGAGGGACGTCGTCGAGTTTTTGCATAATTTCTGACCCAAGCGTATCAACACCACGCTCGACCTTACGTATTTGGTGGGCTAGTACGACGTGGGGGGGACTCCAGTTGCAGCCAAAGCCGTAGTTGAATTACACATGCATGACACCTAGATGGACTTGGTGACAGAGGCGTTGCAGTACACCCGACGACCACACGGACGACAAGAAGACTGCATGATTGTAGGGAAAGTGGCTCTGAGTCAGACGGAATGGTAGGCTAACGACGCCAACAAGTACGGAAGTGCAAACTGAAAGCACTTCGGATAGAAGTCCGTGTAACCCGGGAGGAGCGATTCCCATTGGTGGGCTGTAAGCGGGGGAGCAGCAAAATGGGGGGGGCAGTGTGGCAAACGCTTCGTCGTTGATATCAAATCCTATAATTTAATACTAGTATGCCCAATATTTATAATATATCGAAATATTTAAATTAATCCAAAACTACCTGTTGCAGCTCGTCCAACAAATTGGTCGCCACTGGAGCCTTCAAAAATGTATCTCCCCTGAACACTACCGAGGCTCCATCCTGCTCGAAGCCAAATGGATACCGCTTGGGGGCCACCAGGGTTATTCGAAAGTGCGGTAGCAACGCCCTTTCTGAAGGAGTGGGTACCATTCTCAGACACCGACAGTCCCATTTCTGGGATTTCGTCGCGATGAGTGACGCACGTCTTCATCAACCACTTCGAAAATCGCTCCTTTGACCCCGAGCCAAACAAAGAGTTGGAGAGCTCTTCTGCGGCACACCTCGAGTAAACACAACAAGAGCGAGGCTATATATATTAATGTAATATTGTGCATATATAACTCCTTACCTAAGGACCGGGCAAACCCATGGACTCTGTGGGTTCGCGTAGACATGCGTGGGAAAGCATTATTTCCATCTTGGTCGTTTTTCATCTTGCCAATCTTGACAACAAGAGCGTCATCTAGGTAAAGTAGTTCAGATCAATACATGAGCAGATTACTGCCTTCCCAAGAAATATTGTCGAACCGAATCGTCCAGATAGACACGGATCTCGCCATCATGTTCCACGAGAGGACGAGGAACAAGTGGGACATAAGAGTCAAGCTGAAGTCGGACTTTGTCGTAAGCGCTCTTTTGCCCAAATATATGTACCCTATTTTGGATTAATAAAAAGTTTTTTTTCTACTACGTAGTACTTCGAAGTATATGCTTAGTAACCTTGTGGTGACATTGGCAGTTTGCCTTCCCCACTGTCATTTTGCCACATTCTTTGAGCATGGCCACCTTGCGGTTGTAGGCACTCGAAAAATCTCACCCTCGTCAGACACCTGTTCAACCAAATGCTGTCATATCAACTGTACCTTTGAGAAGAGTGGCCAATTCTTGATCGACCTTCCTTGTACAGGTACTTGATGGCACTCTTGCACTGATTGATTGTTGAGAAAATGTTGTACTTGGTTGGTGTGATTTCGATGCCACTGGAGTTGCGCTTAATCGAAGAATATGTGAGGTACTCCTCGCTCACGTGGCATGGTAGTGGCAACTTAATTGCTGAATCCACCACATGCACTGGGTGGTTTTCCTGTAGCCATAACTTGAGTCGTTGGAGACGTGACTCGTACTGTGTTCGTGTGTCCTCGACTAAGCGTAATGAGACAACACATCCCCAGGCATCGCCGCTCGCGTGCTTCCGCTTGGCCCTTCCCATCAGAGAAGAGATGTTATCGAAATGGCTTCCATAGACCGGATAACAATATATTCGTAAGTATTCGCAAAAGGGTAGTATCTTGCAGACATTCCTGCATCATAGTTTAGGCAAATGTACGGCAAATAGATAATTGCCGTTTACGAATATTTTCCATTCGCGATTCGAGTGTAAAGTATGGTTTAACCGGACGAATATTCGCAACACCCTAAATATCCATTCGTAAACGAGTACTATTTGCTGATACAAAGTTGACATTACATCATGCGTGTCGTCGTGGTGAAAAGAGTTACCCATTGCCTAGAATGTGTGAAATTATCCACATTTTAAGTGACTGCGGCGTATTCCAAGATTCTGCGCAGTACTACTTGGCAGTTATTTCCGTTGTTATCTGCCTAGAGATCTATCCAGATATCGCCATCTGTCATTTTCCGTAGTGACCCAAGAGTGATACTACTAGTATGGTGCAAGTCATCTAAAGACTACAGATCGGCCATCCTCAGGAGGAGACGTTTTACAATTAAACGCCTCGGTTCTTTCAGTTAAACCCACGAAATGTTGACGTAAATCATTATTAGTTACGTGTTTTAGCTGGTAATTAGGTTAAACATTGTGAATAATCCAGATACAATGAAAACGTTCGTACGGATAAGTGCTGTATACAAAGACCAAGATATACTTGATACTCCTTTTCGGCCAAAATGTACCTGGTTCCATATACAGGGAACTTCAGAATGCAAGGCCTACCTTATCTTCGAGTGGGATGGAAATAACAGATTTTGATTGGTAAATATACTTCGAAGTACGGTGTATATTTCTGCCAATGAGATTGGCCCATCAAAATAATATTCAGATCTTTGAAACAGCTATTAAAATTATAGAGGAAATTTAATTATGAGTCAAATTTACAATGATGTTGTTTGACTGTAAGAAATCAAACTTGTAATTCAGGAGGTCATTCAAGAATAGAGTGGTATTAAAACTATTGGTATAATATTGTACAATGATATATATGGTAAACACGGAAGAAGCGTAAGCGTTTGACCCAGTGGCGCAACGATTTAGTGCGACGGCATAACATTATTGAGGAAGGGCCCGGGGTTCAATTCCCGGGGAGTGTCAAACTTTTTCCAATTTTTATTAAAACAACATACAAATTCCAAGTATACTGAACTTACACAACAGATAATATAAAAACGAATTAATCCATTGGTTCCTGAGGAAGTGCCTTTTCAAAGCTGCCACGGATAGCGTCGGTGGACACCATCTCCCAAGCAGCGACAGCTCTCTTGATCAACGCCAACCTTTTCTGCCGGGCGGTGAGTGAAAATGGAACCTCGTCTTCTCCTGTGAAGATGTCTTCATACAACCACAGGTTCCCTAGGTACCGCTTGAAGGGCGCCATCACGCCGACGTCAAGGGGCTGGCACATCGATGTTGAGTTTGGAGGTAAGGGGCAGATATGCGATCGAGTTCTTCGTTGATGATCTTGTAGGATGCTTCGGACACGTGCGAGTCGAAGTTGTCGACAAGGATCACTGACGCTTCTTCGATGTGGTCGTGCAAGACGGTGCGCAGGTAGGACTTCCACACACGGCCGTCCATCCACGCATTTATTGGACTGCATAGGAATGGCCAGCAGGAAAGGTCGGAAACTCGCTAGTTTCGATTCGGCCACCAGGCGTCCCTTTCATGACGAACAGGATCGGAAGTTTGGACCCATCCGCCTTCGCGGTCAAGACAGCCGTCATTCGCATCGAATGCTTCTCTCCTGAGGATATCTTGGAGCTTCCACCACGAACAGCCCAAATGTACTTAGGTGGCATATCACAATATATACCTGTCTCATCCACATTGTACACGCTCTCCGCTCCATGTGCGCGGTACTCACGGTGAAATTCAGCTGCAAAGATGTCATGAGTGTCCTCGAGATCCCCTTGGCTTCGTTTACTTATGCCAGGTCGTTGTCGCGAGATGCCATGACGTTTGAAAAAGCGTTGTAGCAGTAAGTTGTACCCACAGCCTGGCCTTTTGTCCACCAAGTAGGACACAAGCCATTCCCGTTGATTGCGCTTCACCCACGTCACCATATGGATCGTAGTAAGGGCTCGTTCAGAGTCCCGTAATCCATGGATAAACTCAAGCAATCCAGGTGGGTCCGGTAACACCTCGGATGGGACGCCAGGTGTGAGTTTCATGTGCTTCTTGTTGCCTCTGTACGCAAGGATTTGAGCGCGTTTGGTGACCCAGTTTCGCAGAGTTCGACGGGCGACACCAAGTTCAGTAGCGACCTGATATACGGTCATTGTCTCAAGGAGGCCCAGGGCCTGGAGCTTGAAGGCTATCGGGTACATGATGCGCGCCATTGAATAGTATCCATTGAATAGTATTGGTTTGAAATTATTGAATTGCTCGCGGGCGGGATAATAAAAATATATCCAATCAATACCAAGAATTTCAACGAAATTGTTTGATTGGACAAAACTACGGCTGTAATGTTGAATACTTCGGTAGGCCTTGCATTCTGAAGTTCCCTGTATCTCCGTACAAAAAGGCCGGTTGGTTTAAATTCTATTACCCGATCAATTTTTCACCAATCGAAAATCTGAACCGAAACTTCTGTTGGGCTTGTCCAGTTCTATCGTTATTACGGTATATTTTCCTAAATAATATCAATACAAAGTTGGAATAGCTGTCGAAAGTCAAGGCATTTATTTGTTGTCTTTAGGTGACTTGCACCATACTCTGGTCCAAAATAGCTGTCGTGTTGCATATTTTCGAAGGTGCAGTTTTGTTTGACTTGTAATTTGTATGCCACTTGTACATGTTTAGTGTACTAGTATTCTATACAAACCGCACTGAAAATATCAAGTGACATCAACCACAACAAGCAAATCGGAAGGTAAAGGCCGCCGTTCGCGGAATACAGTGCCGTAGCTTGTTCAAATGGCTAGAACTACCGGTAGGCATCGTTTAGCCTCAGGTGCGATTTCGTCGTCGACAGACGTCTACCGAAGGTGCTACGGTCATGCATGGTATCTTTAGAGCATGTTTGATCGATAAATACAACAATATAGAAGCGAGAGAGGGCGAGATGGGGAAGTTTAAAGTTAAGATTAGATTCTCTGGTGAGTGATTCAATATTTTGCCAATTTGAAGGCCATTTTTCAAGTTCGATAACTTCGCCAAGAGTGAGAATTTTGCGCAGATGAGATCTTCAGCTTGCATTTACATTAATCAAATACGAGAACCAGTAAGTTTAGGACAAAATACTTCATTTTGAAGTATAACAGGACAACTATTTTGGACCAGGGTGGTGGACGTGGAGGGCCAACGGCTGGTGGGCAATGACAATAGGTTCACTATCAGGCACATACTGTACTTGCGGGCAAGGACGTATACAAGGCCGCGGCACTGGTATTCGTGAACAAGACGGTGCGAAGGTACAGCGTTCCAATCACTGTGGCAACCTTGGGGCACTCATTGCCAAAGTTTGTCGCGACGATAATTAGCCCAAACAATTTTTTTAAGCGCGTGTAGTTTTGTAATTTCATCAGCGTAAATGTCGATTCGGTATCACTTTCGGTTACATGTAAGTTAACCGAGGCGTTTCATTCGCTGACGGTGGCGCGCATGGGTCCGAAGTTGAGTATCGAGGCCAAGTACACATCTGCGTCGCCCATTCTAAAGGTACTGTACGTTTCGCGTTTGATACTAGTCAGAGCTTCAAATTGAAGAAAGCAAAAAACATAGGAGTATCGCCAAGGTGAGGTCGACTTGGTGACTCGTGTCACCCATAGCTTGACGTGTAGTCCACTTACGGGAGATTCGCCAAGTCATCCAAAATTATGATGATATGCAGCGAGAATACGGAGACATCATGGCCGTGAATCAAGACCAGTTTGACCAACTCTTTTCGGTCGTGTGCAGTGACACGGCCGTCCATTTTCAAGTACTTGCTTGTATTACATACTATTAGTGCATTGTTTTCGATTCACCATTGTTGCTGGTGGCGCACTGTAGGAGTTTGATTCCCGTGGTGTCGGACGAGTGGATGTGCTCGAGGTCCTCGCAGTCTTGATCGTGTTTTCCAAAGACTTGATCGAGCCCAAAATCCAAGCCTTGTTTTCGTTGTACGCCTCGTATATGTATCATATAGAACGTATATCTATAATATGCATATTCTGGAGTGACATTATGATAGATTTGATTTCGACAAGACGTGCTATATATCGCACACCGAGTTGGTCATGCTCATGATATGCTGCACCCGGGGCCTGTGTCGTGTGGTGGGGTACGAGTCTCCCCCTCGTATTTTGATGTGAATGTGTCTGACCACCATGAGTTTGCAGATTGGAGCGACCAGAAAACCTCGAGCTCGAATGCTTGGCCAACGAAGCGTTCGCCAAAATCGACTCGAACCGCAATAACCGCGTGTCGCTCAGCAAGTTTTCGTTTTGGCTGCACCACGAACAAAGCGTCATTTTGTACCTCAAAGTACGATGTGTTGGGCCAGGGTTTCGGGGTCTCAAGCATTCATGTGTTTTATGATGTAGAAGTTTGCCAGTACCCGCTTAATAGCGGACGCCATGCTTCTGTACGACAAACAACTCAAGCTGGCCATAGATCTCTTCTTGGCTGCGGCAGTTGTCCGTCGTACGTCTGACTAGATGAGGATACCGTGACTACAGTAGTCAGTCTGTTGTGGGACTCACCCTACAGTATGACGACAGACAAGTCGTCGCTTGGAAACTCAAGTGAGGGCGCGGTGAGCTATCCTGCGTGCACTTTGGTGCAAGGTACTGTACTACACTACATCGCGGCAAATGGGATTTAAGCGCTTGGAGTAGTTCGCTCTGTGATCGCCGCCTTGAAGCTGCGCCATCTCCAGCCAGCGGGCGTGGACGAAGTGATTGGCTACATGACACAGTAAAGCTCCGCGCTTTACCCATATACAGTGTACTGTAATAGCATTGTATATTTGTAGCATGGTGGAGGCCAACGAAGAGTCGACCAACCCAGTGATTGTCTTGCCCAACTTTTTGTCCGTCATGTCCCCCGCCTTGGCCTTCTTTGCCGCCGACGACGACCACTCCATGACTGTAGATGTGCATGAACTTCGGGTAGAAAGTGCAAACTTTCCATATACTACGGCTTACTATATGCTGTTTCTGTGTCGGGGGTATGTAGATACTGTTGTGGCTGATGCGCAAGAAAGAACCCACGGACCTGCAAACCAAAGGCATGCTTCTGGCTCTGGACGACGACGAGAACGGCAAACTCAGCTGCATGGAGTGGGTGCACTATGCATCTGGTAATGAACGTTCCACGACACAAGTTTTGATTGGTTTCTGACGTGGCATTCTCTATGATAGGCATCGACCAATCCACGGGGTCGTTAGCGTTTAACGCGCAACTTCGGTACCTGTTTGAACATTGTGACCGTGAAGGCAACGGGTCGATTCATGTTGCAGGTACAAACTGATCCCGTCCTGAGAATCCACTTATTCACGGCACTTTAGACTTCAGCGTTGGTCTCAAAACTGTCGTGACGCGGTGTGTGCATGCTGCCATCCCCAGGACCAACAAAGTACGGTAGATTCTCGTCCTTCTCTCGTTGCTTGCACAGTATGGAGGTATTCACTGCATTATTCTGTATGAGGTTGGGGACAAGAAGTGGGCTATCATTGACGACATGTTGGCGTCTCTGGTCAAGGAAATCATGGACTGTGTGGACGTGAACAACAGCAAGACCATAGAGTGGAAGAAGTTCAAAGCCCACTTGGAGTTCATTGAAGATCGCGTCGCTAAAGTCAAGAGCTACGTGCTAGAGTTCATTGTCGTATCGTAATGAATGAATCGTATACTACACATGTGTGTTTCGCATTGGATTGGCAGGCCAAAATACATGGCGAAGTGGTTACGCTGTAACCCCCGCCGCCTCGCTGAACGGTCGTGGTCAGGATAAAACACAAGACATCTGAAACGACCCGATAAAGTACGAATCAATTCATCAAAGTACGAAACGGTTCATCCGTACTTAGACATTCTCTTGGGATTTGTATCGGGGAAGCAGCCTCCAAAGTACGGGGGAGTTCTTTTCAAGGATCCGAAACGCCCCTCGGCCCAACCGACACAAAACTATTTTGGCCAAGCCGCCAACAACAGGACACACACCACCGACCACAGCAGCCACGTACCATGGGAGATGTTGCGGAGCTCAAGAAGAAGTGTGACGGGCTCAAGGACAAGATCCAGTCCGTGCGCACGGCCAAGAGCAACGGTGGGTTCGAAAACGACGGCACCAAAGCGATTCCCCCAGCGCCCAAGTGTCGCCGCGTGCTGAAAGGTCACTTTGGCAAGATCTACGCGATGCAGTGGGGTGGCGACTCGACCTCCCTCGTGAGTGCCTCTCAGGACGGCAAGCTCATTGTGTGGAACGCGCAAACGACCAACAAAGTCCAAGCCATTCCGTTGCGCAGTTCATGGGTCATGACGTGTGCGTACGAGCAAAAGCAGCGCAACATGGTCGCGTGTGGTGGCCTCGACAACTTGTGCTCGATCTATCAGCTTGGGTAATATATGAGTATGAGCCCAGCTCTACCTAACTTGTCGGTGTTTTCCCCATTGTAGGCAAGCGCAAGTGATGCGGGCCACCAAGGAACTGGCGGCGCACGACGGGTACTTGAGTTGCTGTCGCTTTCTGGACGAAGCCAACATCATCACCAGTTCTGGCGACTCGACGTGCATCCTCTGGGGTACTTCTCCATATCTCGATCTCTCGTGGTTGTGTTCACGTTGGTGGTATTAGATGTGGAATCGGGCGAAGTCAAGACCACATTCAAAGATCACACCGGCGACGTCATGTCCGTGTCCATCAACCCACACCACCAAAACATGTTCATCTCTGGCTCGTGCGACTCGACGGCCAAGGTGTGGGACGTCCGGTCGGGCAAGTCGACGCACTCGTTCCACGGCCACGAGTCCGACATCAACTCGGTCGACTTCTTTCCGGACGGGAACGCGCTGGGTACGGGATCCGACGACTCGAGTTGCCGCCTCTTCGACTTGCGCGCGTACGGTGAGCTCAACAACTTTTCCAACGACAAGATCCTCTGCGGTATCACGAGCGTGTCGTACTCCAAGTCGGGTCGGTTCATGTTTGCCGGCTACGACGACTACAACTGCTACTGCTGGGACGTGCTGTCCAACACTGGAGCACACGTGTACCAGTTGACTGGCCACGAGAATCGCGTGTCGTGCTTGGGCGTGAGTCCGTCCGGCCAGGCGTTGTGTACAGGCAGCTGGGATACGCTGCTTAAAGTGTGGGCTTAGCTGCGCCTGTGAACGACGAGGATGTCCCAACACCGGCGGATTGTTTGGCCTGTCGATTGGTCCTCGTCGGTCGGTTGCACCAAAGTACGCCACCACCAGACCGTGAACCGTTGCATATATAGCATATACATATCTATAAATCGTGAACAAGAAGAGCATATGTATTATACATTCATTCGATACTGTACTTGTCACTTGTTTGTGCCCGCTTTAGCTTGATATAGTTCATTTCCATGTCTGGACAGTCTCGGAATTATTACAGTTGCTGCATTGATGGGAACGTTAAGAGTATTCCAGGGCTAAGTACTTACTGTATCGCTGTCCCGAGGTCGAGCACGTGAAGTTTGAATTGTGTGTCTACCCAGCACAAGTGTCGATGCCAAGACAGATTCACGCGATTGGTTCGATCATGGTGATGCTCTGCATAGCCGGTATTCGACGAGCAATTTTGGCGGGATGATTCAATGCCTAGTCACAAAGTGTATATCTGGTTCATGGGGCAAGATATTGCAATTTGTTAGCAGCGTTGCCAAGCCAAGTATCGCCCAACCGAGCAGTGAGTGTAATGTACAGTACATGAATGCGTGTCTGGCGTCGTTGGGGGGCCCGCCAGCGAGTTCACCGTGTCCATCCATCGCGCGTTGAAAAAGATAGCTGCAGGGCGAGCGTTTTTCGATCGCTCATGACCTCACCATGGCTAACGATTGATGACGAAGTGTTGTATTGGAGGTCGGTCAACATCACGACGTGGCAACTCCAGTACAAGAACGCAATGAAGCGGACAGTGTGACCTTCCACCCGGCACTGGGCCACGTGTACGTCATGGCTATGGCCGCGATCCCCTACAGTCTGTTGACGGTTCAGTGGACCACGGCGAACGTGTACTATTTGTTCTTCAACGACATGTATACAACGCGCACATTGGCAGCTATAGCCTCGTGCGATCGGACGACCAATTCAGCGCGTACGATGTAGAGCGGGACGTGTTGATTGGGGGAACTCTACAACGAGCAATCCACGACTGCCTGGGACCGCTTAACTCGATTGGTTTGTACTTGGTGCCCATTCCGCCGTCGCTGCTGGTCCTTCATCGCATGTTTCGATTGACGGCGTACACGTTGCGAACGAATGAGGCTGCGGCCAGCACGTTGCACCAGCTGTGGCAGGACATGGCTCCATCGGTTCATATGACACCGTTGATTCTAGCCTGGATAACCAACGATGCGTTGGCCTTTCTTGATGGAAGTCCACTATGCAGCTCTGACACGACCACGTTGTTCTTGCAACAAGAATGTCAGTTCGACGACTTCTGTGAGCTCCCAACACCAGTCGTGCTCTCCCGCCAGAGTTTTCTGTTGGCAGTTGCCATGACGTCCCTCTCATCCGTCCGCATACCTCCTCAAGCCACGGTGTTTCGGTGTATTTGTGTCAGCCGTGGTGACCCACCGCTTGCGAAACGACATGGCCTAGGCCGTAGAGATCGTAGATGCCATATTCGTGGCTGGGTTGGCCACACAAGTAAGGGTATTGCTCGATCAAGTGAAATTGGACCTTCAACAACATGTACCCGTGGAGATCTTCCAGTTTGCCGCGGTGGTGGGCAATACGAAACTCGGCGCCCCACCTCAATCCTCTCCGTCTTGGAAACTTGCCTCATTTCAGGCGAAGTGTGCTGGCTCACGTACATGCTCAGCGACGTTCTCATTGTGTGGACCAAGCAGTACATGAGATAGCAAGCCGGCCGAAGCTCCGTCCTCCTGTGGCTCCTCGCATCCGGGTTCCAACTCGCGGTCCCGCACGACGCTTCAGCGGCAATGCCACACCCTGGACTTTGACGGGCAGGTCGTGTGTTCGTCCGGAGTGGTTGCGATCGGAAACAGCGCCCGATTCGTCCAGCTCTTTACCTGTCGCTGGGCTGCACGGTCATGTGCTACGTCATTGAGCGACTGCGCCGACCGCATCTCCCCGCCAAGGTGACGCTGTTCCTGCTGCTGTACTCGCTTTCGGCCTACAGTTTCCGTTTGAACGGTGGACGGATTCTGATGGACATGTAGACTTGGACGCCGCCAGTGCGTTCTTGAACGGTCTCTTGTGATGGTGCCGTTCCTGGGCTCATGGCTGTACAGTACGTCCTGGGCATCAAAACGTGGCGAATGTTCTGTGTTCCTATGGCCCAACACCTCCGCTTTAATGAGCCCTCGTACTCACTCGAGAGCCTGGCCTAAGCCTAAACCCATACCCAAGCCCTGTAGCCGAAACCCCAAAACCCCGGTGAAAAATATTTAAAAATCCCTTTTTCCACGCTCTTGCTGTTCGTTTTGAAATGACAGGAATAGAAACGAAGTGCGTTAAACGCGTTCTTCAGGTTTAACGCCGCCTCTCCCAAATATATGCTGATTGGTCCGTTGGTTTTATAACATCACAAGCGCCGCTGACAGACTACAGGACATGGCAGCTGTACGCACCGGAGACTCATTGACCACGTTTGTAGACCAGTTGGATACATCACTTCCTGGCAGCCTTGTGCTACGCGTGGCAGAAGCATGCATGGACATCCAGGTGTTAATTCAACGCGGTGCGCTGTCTGAGAACGTCCTGGGGAGTGCTCATTCGGACAACGTCCAAGGCGAAGTGCAACAGAACTTGGACTTGCTTTCCAACGACGCCATGCTGACACGGTGTCAAGACGACCCTACACTTGCAGGCATGTGTTCGGAAGAAAGCGAGGACATCTACGTCGCGTCCTCGTCCGGTCGCTACCTGTTGCTGTTCGATCCCCTCGACGGCTCGTCCAACATCGACGTCAACGTGTCCATTGGCACCATCTTTTCGATCCTTCCTCGCGCTTCCAACGACGATGATGATGATCATCCCTCCAAGTCCGTCGTCGAAGCCGCTGACTTCTGTCAACGCGGCGACCGCCAACTTGCCGCCGGCTACGTCATCTACGGCCCGCAAACCACCCTTGTCCTCACCGTGGGGCACGGCGTCCACATGTTTACATTGGATGTGTCCCGTCGGGTGTTTGTCTGCACCCAGCCCCGAGTGACGCTGTCCCCTTCCACGCAAGAGTTCGCCATCAACATGTCCAACACGCGGCACTGGGAGCCGGCGGTCGCCGCGTACGTCGCCGACTGCCTTGCCGGCACCCAAGGTAAACCATCATCTACCGTATTTGTCGTACCTGTGCACCATGTAATGAAAAATTTGAACAATTTATTTAAATACTCCAATTGGTGATGGGATTAAAACGTGAATATAACGAATCATATCATTACATATATTCACGTGTTATATTTCATGGTACCGATCAACGGCAAATACGGTATTCTTGCGAAAACATGGAATTGTTTGGCACTTCAATATGTTGCAATATGTTATACACTGCACAGTTGAAGTTGACTCGTTTTTAATTAAAAATGGTCTTTTCGTTCCATGAACGTATGTATTTTATTCCGTTTGTTTAAAACGAAATTAACGTTTCAGGACCCCGTGGGAAGAACTTCAACATGCGATGGATTGCGTCCATGGTGGCAGAGGTGCACCGCATTTTGTGTCGCGGTGGCGTCTTCTTGTACCCGTGGGACGTGCGCATGAAGGGGAAGATGGAAGGACGGCTGCGCCTGCTCTACGAAGCCAACCCCATGAGTTTCCTGCTGGAGCAAGCGGGCGGCGCCGCCAGCACCGGCATCAAGCGCATGTTGGATGTCGTGCCCACCGCCTTGCATCAACGCGTGCCGGTGGTCTTGGGCTGCCGCGATGAAGTCCAAGTCATCGTGCAGTACCACCGTGACGTGTCCGATGCGCAACCATGAGGAGGGCCAGTGCATGTATCCCAAGGACTAGGCTGATGATACCATAATGCGAAACATAGAAACACGATGTAATATTGTCAAATCGAACTGGAGCCGTCAGCAGAATCGAATGGCCTAAGCCAATCAAATCACGCCCTGCTGAGTTTCTGCCAATCCAAACGTTTGACTCGACACTGGGGCAAAACCATTTATATACTAATATATACTAATCTTTTTGTAGTATAGTTTGTACAAGCTTAAATTGGATCAAATGGATTCGAATGCATTTGGCGAAATGATTCACTAGTCCAAATTTGGGTGAAATGCACAATAACATTCAGTTATTGTGGATTCGGTACAAATTTCCAGACCCAGTCGAATCGAATTTCGAATCGACGCGATTGGCTAATCCAATTTTTGATTGGCACTTACATAAAGGGCAGCCAATCAGAAGTTTCCAAGCGTGATTCACACAATCTTGAATAGAAAATCGTAATGTGGCGTTTTGGACCTCTTCAACGAGTAAATCCCAGTGGAATTTTTGGATTTGGGTTAAACCTCTGCAAGCACGACATCTTTCAATGTTGATCAGATTTGTTGAATTCGGCCCTAAAATGGCGCTTTGGGCCTGAATATTGCAATATTTCCGGTTACCAGACGAACCCTTAATCATTTTATCCAATTTTGGACTTCTGAATGGTGTAATAATACTGTATAAATACACCGAATAAATCCCAATACATTTTTTATATTTTCGCGAATATATACTGTATGCCGCGATGTTTAGGATGCAAACGACGACGACGCGCGCTTGACGCTGAGCGTGGCGGCCACGACCGCCAAGGATGCCGCCACATACGTGAGGGGGATGGAGGCGGAGCATCCGACTTCGTTCAGGTTGAGCATGTTCTACAAGACCGAATCGAGTGAGGATGACGAGAGATCGAAAAGCTCCATGACGCACCGATAACCCCGAGCCCACGTGCAGCAACACGACAGCTACGATGTGCGCGGCAGAGCGTTTGCGGTAGCCTTCAAACGCAAGGACCATGAGAGCCACATCCAGCAACGTCAACGCCAATGTTGAAAGCGCTACAAATTAGATAGGTGACCCAACTGCAGCGGTCGATGGTGAGAGTACCTGAGGCGAAGACAAGCGGGATCTGCGGACATGTGGCGGTGAACGAGGCGCCTTCACCCGCCAAACTCGACGCGAGCACAGTGCCGTACATCATCAACGCGCGCATGAGGGCAAACCCAACGCCCGACGCTACATGAATCCCATGAGCAACCTCCATACAATGAAGACGAGAATACGAGTATATTATACCAAACGAGGACGTGAGGTCGTTCAGCGGCAATTGGTTTTGCTTGGTCGTCACGCGCTTCACGGCCTGTTCGCATCGAATGTACACAATAAAGAAGGCATATCGAAACAGTTCCTGGACGAGGATGGCCACGGGGATGGTCGCGTGGATCGAATCATGGAGCGGGGGGATCACCGTCCACAACGTCGCCGCCACGAGGAGTCCGAGGAGGTAGAAGAACGCGGCAGTGATGGACAGGATGACCAGCTGCGCACGTTGCGCCACAACCGTGAAGAAGAGGAAGCTGATGGGCGCGAACGCCGTCAACATACATCCCCAGAACAGTGCCCACTGCACCATACTATTCCGATCTGTCTTCGAAATGGAATACTAGTAACCCCCTGAGGAAAAATATTCCGGATAATATCGAAATGCAGGGCAAGTTTATCCGGCGTATCGACACGACTACTACGTACTACTTACTGTACATAGTACTACTGGATAGAGAAGATCCAAGTGAAATGGTTGAGCACCTTTAACTCTTATGGCACTTACAGCTCCTCGCTTCTTACAACGTGACCGTAGTATGAGCCCAGGGATTATTAGCATGCACACACTGGGTTCACGCTTGCAAGAATGCACATATCACTCATCTAACGAACACAAATATCAACAACATACGATCATCACGTAGATATCGTAACATGTGAGGGAAGAACCATACAGCATTGATGCGTGAACATGGCTGGTACACACATACACACCATGAGGATGACTCTAGGGAGCGGCCATGGCTCGGCTGTACAGCTAAAAGGCTGTCAATGGGCGCTAAGACTCGCGTACTTTCTCGACATGGTAATGAAAAGTTATGGGCAAGCCCACCCTTCTCTAACGTACCTTTTTCAAATGTATATCTAGCCGTTTGTATATGTTCGATAAAGTACCCCACAAATACGTTTCCTGTGCGTTGCGCCTAATTTTAGCGTCGTCAGCGTTGGTCGTTTTGAGAGTTTGCGTTTGGAACATGCAGCACGAGCCCAAGCAGCCCGGCGAGGCGACGAGCGAGGGCTTGACAGACCCGCCGCCGCCCCATCAAGACGCCCAGGACAAAGTACGACTGAAGGATGGGAAAGACATGTATCGCCGCGTGAACACGCCGTCGACCGCGCCTCCTGCGTCGTCGTCGAGCGAACGCCTCGCTGTCGTCACGTCGTCGTCTGCGCCTGTATCGACGACGTCGACAACCTCCTCGGACTGCCGGACCGTGTCGCTCCATGACGCGGCACACAACTCGGCGCTGTTCGGCACGGGCACGAACGTAGTCGTCACATCCAAGTACACGACGTTTTCGTTCCTGCCCAAGTTTCTCTTTGAATCGTTCTGCAAGGTCGCCAACTTGTTCTTTCTCGTGGTGTCGATTCTCCAGACGATCAAACCCATCTCCAACACGTATGGCGTGCCCACGAACGCCCCCACGCTGCTCTTCGTGATCTGCATCGACGCGATCTTTGCCATCATGGAAGACTTGCGCCGCCACCAGAGCGACGACGCCGCCAACTCGGCCACGTGTCACGTTGTTGTCGACAAGAACACAGTCGCGGACAGGCTGTGGTCCCACGTCAAGGTCGGCGACGTGCTCCAGATCCGCAACCGCGAGGTCATTCCCGCGGACGTGCTCATTTTGTCGGTGGAAGAGCCCGACCCCAACGTCCCCAGCGGCATTTGCTATGTGGAAACCAAGTCCCTAGATGGAGAAACCAACCTCAAGCTTCGCCAAGCCCTCCCTGCGACCATGGGCTCCTTGCGTCACACCGCCGACCTCCTCAAGCTTGAAGGCACCGTCCTCTGCGAAACACCCAACCCGTACATTAACAAGTTTGCAGGTACACTTAACAGTTACTCTCGTCGTTGACTTGTTTAGATTTTTGGCTTTTTTTCCTTTGTTTTTGGAGTGAGTTTAGGTTCGTAGTTTTTTCGTTTTTAAATTCGGGTTGCTTGTGTTTGCCGTTTGACTGTATCGGTAGGTATGGCTCGTTTTTTTAATTCTTTTCGGTCATATATTTGATATTTTTGGTCATTATTTTCCTTGAATTTAGGCCGAGTCTGGATGCCACAGAAAATTTTATGTCAATTAATATTCTGACAGAAAATTCCCCTTTCAAATGGGAGGTGAAAAATTATTTTCAAAATATTTTGATGGGACCTCTGGATGCCATGACGGAATGAAAACTATCGATAGAATATCATGTAGGTAATACACTGGACAGTTGCAGGTCAAACATTCTTCTGTCAGAAAGCAGTAAAAATTCGACGTATTATGTCACTTTATATGTCAGATTTGGTAGCCAAACACACAAAAGTTGTCGTTAGAAAATTTGTCATAATAAGCCACAGTGGCCCTTAGGGTTTTTTTTTATGTTATTACATATTCACGTTCCTTGTGTTGTTTGCCTGTGGCTTCTGTTCTGCAGTAGTCTTTCCTTTTGGATTCTTTACAAACCATGGTCATCGCACCAGTCTAATTTTGCAGTTTTGACAATCGATTCATTCATACATATTGTCGATTTGATACAAATTTGGGGGTGCAATCGAATCGCGCCGACCAAACCGATCCGCAATCGATCTGATTGGTTGTTGAATTTCATTGAGAAGGTTTTGATTGGCTAATAATTTTGAGCTCATCTGAAGTAGCCAATCAAATCGATTTAAATTCCAACGTGAAACCACAAATCGAAATTTCACTCGAAAGCACAATACTCCTGATCGTGCTTTGTTTCGCACATCTAAACAAACGATGATTGATTAAAATATAAATTCCCACCTACTTTATAAAAAGATTAATGTTTATTTATTAATACATAACAACACTAAAACTGTTTCGTTCGTTTGGTCCTATGTCTATTGTACACCATGATCCTTTATTATATTTTTAAATTAGTTTACGACTGCTACAAATCCTGGAAATATTATATATATACTTTTACCACACATTGACAACGACTCATGCGTGTAGGCAACATGGACGTGACCGTGGACGGCCAAGCGTGGCCCCGGGAACCCCTGAGCATCAAGAACGTGTTGCTTCGCGGGTGTACGCTGCGCAACACGGATTGGGTGTACGCGCTGGTGCTTAACACAGGGAGCGATACCAAGATCATGCAGTCGGCGTCGTCGGCCCCGACCAAGTGGAGCGACGTGATGATCACGCTCAACAAGTGCATTGGCATTCTGTGCATCGGGCTCGTCGTGCTGTGCTCGGTGGCGGCGACGGTGTTTGTGACGTGGCAAAACCAGATCGCGCGGGAAGCGTGGTACCTCCACGGTACCATCGCCGCCAACAAAGTGGTGCTGGAAACCACAGGCGACGCCGTCCAAACGTGGTTTATCATGTGCTTTTACTACTTTTTGCTGCTCTACCAAGTGATTCCGATCTCGCTCTACGTGTCGCTCACGACGGTCAAGTTCCTCCAAGCTATGTTTATGGCGTGGGACCTCAAAATGTACCACGCCGAGTCCGACACGCCTGCGATCGTGCGGACGATGGCGCTGAACGAAGAATTGGGCCAGATTTCGTACATTTTTAGTGACAAAACCGGCACGTTGACGTGCAACGTGATGGATTTCCGCAAATGTTCGATCAACGGCGTCAGTTATGGCTCGGGGTTGACGGAAATTGGTACGTTTTTTAATACTTTTCTCTTCTTCATGTGGTCGATCGAGCCAAAACAAGTCTGATTTTTTTTGTATTTTTTATTATTTTGTATTGTGGATTCGGTACAAATGCCCAGACCCCGTGGAATCGAATCACGAATAGTCGACGCTATTGGCTACTTCAATTTTGAGTGGATTTGATTGGCTCTTACAGAAAGGACAAATATATTCAACCAATCAGAACTCCAGCGTGATTATTCAATATTGATTCGACAACCCACGCGAAAATGTTGGAAGTTTATATCGAAATCATAATAAATATACCGTTTTTTGTCAACATGTCATATATATATATATATATATATACATAGGTCGTGCGGCCCTCAAACGCGCCGGCCAGCCGATTCCACCGGAACCCCAAGCCGACCCGACCGTGAAATCGATCCCGTACGTCAACTTTGTCGACCCGGCACTGGATGCCGCCATGCGCCGCGATGGTGACGACAGCGTTGCTCTGCAACGTCAAAAGTGTCACCAGTTCTTTGAGCATTTGGCCGTGTGCCACACGGTGATTCCCGAGAAATTGGACTCTGGAGAGATCCGGCTGAGTGCGTCGTCCCCCGACGAGCAAGCTCTGGTCGCGGGTGCACAGTACATGGGGTACACGTTTGAGAGTCGGTCCGTGGGGAAAGCGATGCTGGACGTGGCGGGCGTGGGAAAAAAGTCGTACGAGATCTTGGAAGTGCTCGAGTTCAACAGCACGCGCAAGCGCATGTCGGTGGTCGTGCGGTTGCCAACAAACGAGCTCATGTTGTACACCAAGGGCGCCGACATGATGATCTACGCGCGGCTGCATCCGTCGTCGAAAGCGCTCGAAGCAATCACGTCGCAGCACATGGAGCAGTACGCCGACGACGGCCTGCGCACGCTCGCGCTGGCCGTGAAATCCCTCGACGAGTCGTGGTTTGCCACGTGGAGCGCCAAGTACCGCGCCGCGAGTGGCTCCATCGACGAGCTCGATAAGCGCAAGCATGGCCAACCGAACGCGATCGACACGCTCATGGAGGAAATGGAGTCGGATTTGACGCTGATTGGCGCCACCGCCATCGAAGACAAGCTCCAGCGCGGCGTCCCAGAGTGTCTGTCGAGTCTGAGCGCCGCACTCATCAAGGTGTGGATGCTCACGGGGGACAAGGAAGAAACCGCCATCAACATTGGCTACGCATGCGCGCTGCTCGACAACGCGATCGTCCAAGTGGTGATCAACATGGACAACTGCCCGACCGCCGACGCCATCCGCGACAAACTCGCCGCCGCCGCCGACGCATTCCATGCCAAGCAAGGCCAAGATCGGTACGCGTTGGTGATCGACGGCGAGGCGTTGGAAATGGCGCTCAAGCCAGACATGAAGCACGACCTTCTCGGCCTCGCGCAGCATTGTGTCGCGGTCATCTGCTGCCGCGTCTCGCCGGCCCAAAAGGCCGAAATGGTCATGCTTATCCGCGATCACTTGCCCGAAGCTCGGTAAACAACCCCTCGGTCGTCGTCGTCGTCGTCTTGTCTGGACATGCGTAGTATTTGTGTGCATATATATATATTATTGTCCTGTCATGCCAAAAGTAGGATTTTGGTGCTGATTGATTGGCCAAATCCTTCGATTGTGTGTACTGACATTTTGTATGTAAAACATTGTGATACCCATCACATGAATTCAAGTTACACATATTAATTTGTATTTGTTGATTGGTGGACTTGAATATTTCATGCAATCTGATTGGCGAAATGCGATTATGGTCGAATCTTCTGCCCATTCGCCAGTTTTGTATACACATAACAATACTACTTTAGAATAGCCACATATATTTTTTAGTTGGGAATGATATCAAATGCTTATTTGTGGTGTTAGTTTCCTGATAATATATAGTTCGTTGAGTATTCATATGGATCAAATCCCCCTCACATTCGAATTCGTGTTGATGATTGTGATTTTCGGTACACCTTTCCAGACCGCCGACTCGACGCTCTTGGCGAAAATCCAATGTAGAGTGGATCTGATTGGCTCTTACAGAAAGGAACAAGCTTATTCAGCCAATCAGAACGTCCAGGGTTATTTCAAAATTGATTTCAAAACCACACGAATGTATATTTCGACAGTGTATGGCGAAATCATCCCCCTACCTTTATATATGTTGTACTTGTTGTATTATGGTATATTCGGTACAGATTTCCAGACCCCGTCGAATCGAATCTCGCCGCCGAATAATCGACTCACGAATCGACGCTATTGGCTAATGCGATTTTGAGTGGATTTGATTGGCACTTACAGAAAGGACAATATATATTCAACCAATCAGAACTCCAGCATGATTCAATATTTTGATTAGACAAGCCACGCGAATTTTGGCAGTTTATAGCGAATTAATTCACAATAGCGATCTTCGTATTCTTTTTTGGCCGTAGAACTGTGAGAAAACACCAGCGCTGATATGGGTATGTGATTGATGGTAGCACGCTGGCAATTGGCGATGGCGCGAACGACGTGGCGATGATTCAAGCGGCGCACATTGGCGTGGGCATCTCGGGACAGGAAGGGATGCAAGCGGTCAACTCGAGCGACTATGCGATCGCGCAGTTTCGATTCCTCCAGCGGCTGCTGTTGGTGCACGGTCGGTGGAACTACATGCGCATCTCCAAAGTCGTGCTGTACATGTTTTACAAAAATATCACGCTCGTGTTGGCGCAATACTGGTACGGGTTTCTCAGCGGCGCATCCGGATCCAAAGTATACTGGGAGCTCGGCGTCCAAGTGTACAACATCTTCTTCACGGGGCTGCCTATCGTCGTGCTGGGGGTGCTGGACCAGGACCTGCCCGACTCGATGAGCGTCAAGTTTCCGACGCTGTACCAAGCCGGGCCAAACCGCACGCTGTTCAACTTTTACTCGTTCTTTCGATGGCTCGGCGCCGCCGTATACGAAAGCCTCGTGATTTTCTTCGTCATGGTGTACGGGTACAACTCCAAGAACAACGCGATCGGGTCCGAGTCGAGGGTCGAGTACGGCATGGTCGCGTTCACGCTGGCCGTGCTGATTGTTAACCTCAAGATCTGCCTCGTCATGTGCAACTGGACGTGGGTCCCCCGCCTCACGTGGTGGCTGAGTGTGCTCAGCTGGTTTATCATCGTCTGGCTCGGCACGACTGCCATCCCGTGGTTCGCGACGCTCAAAGTCGGGTACGACGAGTTTGGGTCGTTTTTGCCGACGTTCGAGTCGGGGTCGTACTGGCTCATCTTGGTCATCGGGTCGTCCATCGCGCTCGGCCGACACTTTTCGTGGAACCAGTACCAACGCCTGTTTACCCCCGAGTTGTACCAGATTCTCCAAGAGGTACTATTCGTGTTGGCTTTGTCCATTCATGTGTTTAGTCAATCCATGGGATATGCAAGGAAAGCATGTACTACAATTGTTCCTATACACAGTAAATATATATATACTATGCACAGTATATAATAGAGGATTATTCATGATATGTGCTGCCATCGGATTGGCTCAATAACTACTTGTGCCGATTATTTATCTTGTGTACGTTGATTGATTTGGTTGGGATACTGTGCTTTCGAGTGAAATTTCATTGTGGCGTGGCGTGGTTTCTCGGTGGAATTTAAATCGATTTGATTGGCTACGTCAGGTGAGCTCAAAATTATTAGCCAATCAAAACCTTCTTAATGAAATTCAACCAATCAGATCGATTGTGGATCGGTTTGGTCGGCGCGATTCGATTGCACCCGCTCCCCAAATTTGTACTATTAAATCGACAATATGTCGATTCGTATTATTCATGTCTCCATGTCGAACTCCAGTTTAGAAGAAACACGTACAATATGCATACGCTGATTGATTTCATATATGCATGAAACGTGTTACTTGACCGGTGTAAACTGTTTATGACAAAGAATATATATCAAATGCACCATGTAAAAGTCTACGTCAAGCTGCTTCAGGTTATAACGGTGGCGTCGACCAAGTAGTTGCGGTTTTTTGTTTGTGTTTTCGATCAAGATTCGGTTTACTCTCGTATATATATATATACGAGAGGCTAGCATGTATATATATTATATACATGAGATGTTCCAACGCGAGCACATTTTGCATATATTAGGCGGTACTCGTGGAGAAAACACAAACCCAGCGCATGACCATTGCCAACGTGGAAGAAGCGCGGGACTTTAGCGTGTCCCTGAACGACGTGACGGCGGACGAACTGGCCAAGTTCCACCCGCAGGACACGTTTGGCAGTCCCGCGAGTGCCGCGCGGAAGGCGAGGAAGGCGCCGCGTCGCCCGGGAATTTCGAGACGGAACACTGGGTACGCCTTCAGTTGCGACGAAGAAACGACGCTGGCCGAGTCGTTCATTGCGACTAACCACCTCCACAACGAACCCAACACCCGCCGCAGCCAACTCAACCTCAACGCCCCCGCACTTCAGCGCTAGGATTGACCCCATGCATTTTTAATCCCTACATTTAGAGTTATTTTTCGACTTGTTTAAGGTATTGCGTTGTGGCCACACCACATTACGTTAATATTATAGAGTGAGATTATTACAATTATTAGAGAAAAATACATAAAGCATGGAACTTATCGAACGTCATCCAATAGAATAAGCCTTTCATCCACATGTCATCCACACGTCATCCACAATATACTAACAGTAAAATACTACGAAGCCCACCACACTATAATCATGTGTCGACACTATTTAAAATCGCAGAACACTAGAGATAATATATTTGGCCATTCCTGGGCGTAGGCTAGGCGGATTTTGGATTGCTTGAGCGTTTTCCATATCTACGTGCTTATGTGAATACTCTAGATCAAGTCTCATTAGTTTATATGCAGGATAA